TTCCCCGTTTGGCTTGAAGTAAGTGTGCAAGGTACTCTCAGGTACTCCACATCTCTACTAAACTACTAAGTTTTGAAATACAAAAAATAATAGCCATACAATAACCCACATAACTGCAAGCAAGAGGGGTGGGTAATATAACTAAGGGAAAGAGCTTCACAGAAAGCCCCCTCTACTCACTGCCTGAATGGGAGAATAATTTTCCTCTGTGTTCCAGCAGCTTTTCCCCACATAAATGCACTTTGTGTCCCAAGCAAGACACCACCCTTTCTGAGCTGGGTTCTAGAGGCCACAGTGAGCAATGTAGGGAGGCTTGCACACTGCTCTGTTCAAGGTTAAGAAGAAGAGTGTTGGGGGTGGTTCCAGGGGTCTGTCCGACCCCTGGCTGCCGCTGATTTCCTGGATAGGGGTCCAGTGAGGAACAGCTGTCCAGGGGTCTCAGGTAGTTTCCAGCCAGGGGTAACCCCTATGAGCTTGGTCTGAGGCTTCAAGTGGTTACCCCAGCCAACACGTAGACAAGAGACAGGAGGCCGTGTAGCGTTCCACAGAGTCCTTTATTGGCAGGCTTCAGCAAAGGGGGCCAGTGACAAACTTCCCCTGAACTGGGAAAAAGCTGGGGTTTTTATAGAGAATGGGAGAACTGGGAGAAGGACCAATGGTTTAAGACCAGGGTAAAATGACCAATACTTTACAAAGAGACAACATGGGGTTCCAAAGCAGGAAGGGGTCCACAGTCACCATGACTAAGTAGTTTTGTCTTATCTTAGGGGACAGATCTCCAAGGAGGAAGCCTGTCAGAGGAATGGGCTCCCTCCACAGAAGAGGAAGGTATTGTCTGCAGTACCTGTCCTCCAAACTGATGACAAGTTAAAGAGTTGACTGCTCTATCCTGCTCCATCATTTGAAGTCAGTCCACAGCAGTGTCTTGCAGTATGATGGCTCTGACTTACTTTCCTAAATTTTCACTCTTACCTCTTCTATTTTAATAAAGAAGGAAAGTAGCACAAACTGAATCAGTGAAAAATTGGTACTATCAACCCTGAATAATCCAACATCAATACTCTTTCACGAGGAAAATATTTTGGTTTTTTATGTGGTGGTGAAAACATAAGAGAGAGCAGGTGTTTATATCTTACCCCTACCCTCAAATGGAAACCAAAGATAGTGCAAACTTTTAATTTGATACTACAGATCATTGATATCTGCTATGCTAAATCTTATGAAGCCTGAAGTGTTTGTTTTAAATTGAACAATTGCAGAAATGATGTCCCATTAAGGGAACCACTGAGACTGGAGACTGAATAGTGCTAGCAGTTCACTAGTGATTTCCAGAGAATAGTTGAAAATAAAGGATTTTTAGCTGCCTTAGCTCTTCTGAAAGCAAGTGAAATACAGTTGGATGAATGCTTTCTTATACCAATATAACACAGTTTAAATTCTAGCCTAGAAGAAATGGTAGATTATTGTCAAGAGCCATCAGTGTACAGGACACAAATTTATCTTCTCAGTGAGCTGCAGGCACTTCAGAAGGTTTGGTTTTACCTTCAGATGGAAATCTCAAGAATGTTAATGAGAAGAGCAATCCATCTCTTTCCTATCAGACAAGGCAGGACTGCTTGTAGTCCCTGAAAAACGAACTCGTGTTTTTTCATGGTCACATCGATTGATCTCAAATGTATCTTCTAGTTTGTTTGCTTGATTTAGGGCTTTGCTGTTTACAGGTGAGCAGCCATTACTCTATTCTACAGTTGCTTGGGCTTATTTAAAATTCCAGGCTTATTTAAAATATCTGTCTCTTTCAAATTACTTTGTAATTATTGAAATGTATGTATGTTTTAATCATTCATTAATGCTTGTTAAGGTACAAAATAAAAACTGCTAAACAAAACCAGTATTTTAGTGAACTTCAAACTATGTGTGCCAAACTTTTTCCATTCTTTTTTTCAAGGAGTTGGATAAGTTTCTTTAAGTGCATGGAACTTAAAAGGAAAAGTGTTTAAACTACATGATGCACAGAACCCATGTATGTGTTTCTAGATGGCAAATCTCCTAGTGAGCCAGAGTAATATGAAAGCAAGACTTGAAAGCCAGATGCAATGAAAATTTAACCATATTGCTTTCATAGCATTGTGATAGTTTAATAATTATTTAAGCTTTAGAAATGTCACAGCATAATTACTTTCAGAATGAGTACAAACATTTTCATGCACAAAAATTGCTTTCTTCTTGCAACTTTTGCTTCTCATGGGAAAGTTATGCTTTAGTGAAATTTCTGAACTTGATCTTGTTCATCTCTTGATCACAGAAAAATTCTCAGTGAAAATTCAAAATACAAAAGATTGAAATAAACTGTACAGATCTTTTTACAAATAAGCATGTATTTTCTTTATACTCTTAAAATAAAAAATAAATCTGTGAAAGTATTTCTTTCATGAAAGAAGAAATTTTGTAACAAAACCAGTTAAATGGAAAATGCTAAAGAAACCCTATTTGCAGAGCAAGGGAATGGAAAGTACCAAATGCTGGATTTATAAGCATCCATAGGGGATTAAATTCAGCTCTTCTGTGAATGTGATACATTTTACTGGCCTCACAGCATACATGGAGCTCTAACTCCTTCTGTACTTGTAAGGAAAATATAGGGACTAGAACTTCCGTTCTGAATTTGTCCTGTATCTCAAACATTCTGATGAATGCAGTTAATTCTGCAGTATAAATTGTGTTGATATGTAAAATAGTGTCAAAATCCCAGTCTACATTAAGATGCAAACACTTCCGCTTTACATAGCCTACTACGCTTTGTTTACAATGTGAGCAATTCAGGTTAGACTTGGAAAATAGAAGTTATAATGGTTCTGCCATTTCTGAGAAATAGCCTAGAGGAAAAAATACTCTCCGTGTAATTCAGGGGTGGGGTTGTTTGCACATTTTCTAAGTGGAAATCTTTTTGGAACAGCTTTACATCCTCATAGCAAAGACTTAAAGGTCATAAAAACTGCCTTTGTATCAGGAATGTACTGGAAGTTATTTCTGGTAAATTCATTGGAATTTTTTAATGTCTGTTTAAAATTGAACTTACTGCATGTAATTTCACATCTCTTAAGGCTTGTGTCACCTTCTGTGCTCTTATGAGCTTTTTAGTGCTAACGAGATGAACCTGTCATTATTTTGGAAACACTAAGTGTGCTATAGATGGCAGCTGTTGGGTTGAAGACAACCTATGCAATGGCCAAGGTATAACCCTTTTTCCTTCTCTTGTATTTCACTTCCTGGGCCCAGACACAGACTAGTATGAGTGAAGACAGAGAAAGGATTAAGTGTGTATTCTTTAATGTAGCTCTCTGTATCATAGAATCATAGAATGACAGAATGGTTTGGGTCAGAAAGAATCTTTAAGATCATCTAGTTCCAACCCCCAACTGTAGATCGGGACATCTTCAACTAGACTGAGTTGCTCAGGTCTCCATCCCAGCTGGCCTTGAACATTTCCAGTGAAGGGCTATCCACAGCTTCTTTGGACAACTTGTCCCATTGCCTCACCACTACAGGGAAGAAATTCTTCCTAGCAACTAAAGCTACTCTGTCAGTGTGAAGCCATTGTGCTGTCACTACATGCCCTTACAAAAAGTCTCTTTCCATCTTTCTTGTAGGTTCCCCTCACGTGCTGGCACAATTAGGTCACCCTAAAGCCTTTACCTTATCAGACTGAACAATTCCAATTCTCTTAACCTTTCATCATAGGAGAGATGCTCCATCTAACTCAGTGGCCCTCCTCTGGACTTTCTCCAACAGATATTCTTCCTGTACTGGGGACCCCAGAGCTGGATGCAGCACTCCTGGTGGGGTCTCACCAGAGCAGAGCAGAGGGGCAGAATCCCCTCCCTCACCCTGCTAGCCACACTGCTCTGGATGCTGCTCAGGACAGGATTTGCTTTCTGGGCTATATGAGTGCACATGGCTGGGTCACGCCCAGCCTCTCCAGCTCCCCCATCCTTCTCGGCGGGGCTACTCTGGATCTGTTCATCCCCCAGCATATGCTGATACCAGGTGTAACCCCACCCTAGGTGTTGCACTTGGTCTTAAACCTCATGAGATTCCTATGCACCCACTTCTCAAGCTTGTCCAGGTCCCTCTGGATGGCATCCCATCCTTCATGTGTGGCAACTCAGCTCAGTGTCATCTGCAAATTTGCTGCAGGTGCACTTGATTCCTGTGTGGAAAATTTGGGAAATTTGCTATGTGCATGTGGTAAGCTCAATCACTTGTATGTGAACTTAATGAAGATCAGAACATGTTTTAGTTTCACAGAACTACTAAATAACTGTGGAAAGTGCCAGTGTTCATGGTCCTGACATGCCCTTCAGTCTGGCAGCCTGTTAAACTCGATGCCTGTACTTGGCTCTCCTGCTGTGCAGTGCTGTGATAGGGAAGATAAGATAGCTGAAAAATAGTACTCAAAGATTCACTGAGATCAGGGTGTGTCCTGCATGATTAGAAGAGCAATTAAAAATTTAAAGGCTGCCATCCATCCTTACCAAAGTATTACATCACTCTGTGTACAGGGCAGTGGCAGTAATCAATAAATACAATGTGCTGGGGGATCAGGAAGAGACAAGTTAGCATATCCCAGGTAGAAAGACTGGATATAATTAAGAGAAATAAACAATGCTTATCTTTTGAGGAAAAAAACCAAAACATCATCAACTATTCTGAGTTGAAAAGCAGGAATTCTTAATCAAATAGTATGGTTGGATTTATTCAGGCATAGAATTTCACCAGTCAAAACTACTTTTCTTGCAAAGAAAGCAATGTATGTTGCTTGAACATGATGACTGAGTGGTAAAGAAACAAAGTAACGCATGTACTTTTATTACTGAAAATTCAAATTCCGAAAATCTGAAGCCAGATACATCTGATTATTTCAAGACTTACTTGACAGATAATATAGGTATGCTCTTTCACTGAGGCGTTCTGACTGCTCTCAAATGCTGTCCCCACAGGGCCCAGCCTCCTCTCCCAGAATGCACTCCAGCTCAATTCCAAACCTGAAGGATCCTTCCAGTACTCAGCCAGCTACCATAGCAACCAGACCCTCGCCCTTGGCGAAACAGCATCCACCCAGCTCCCGTCCCGCAGCAGTCAGGCCAGAGGTGCCATCCAGAGCTACACCCAGGTACGTGTTCTAAGCAATTGTGGTCTCTCACACCAGAAATTGTGTGGAGTAGCTCCCAGGAAAGAGCTGTTCGGTGCTTTCCACACCTGAACTTCTGCCTTTACGTTCTGTCTTGTTCAACACACCTGCAGCAGGGTGGAGATACCATCTTGATTTTTGTAAATCTCTGGTGGGTTGACTTACATAGTAATAAAGTAATCCTGATTAACAAGGAGATCTGCATGCCAGATTTACTTACTTGCTTGCATATATATTTTGGTAATAGCATGTTCAAGCATTTAACTTTCAAAGCAAATTTCTGTGACTGCTGATTAGATGTCCATCCTAAGATGTAGGACCTGCCAGCATTGGTCTCACCACATTAGTGAAGGCAGTGTCAGGAAACAGAAACAAAGCCAGGCTGACACCAGATGTACAACCTGCCTGGGACAACATACCTCACATGGTGCTGTGGCCTCATCTCAAGTGTAGGAAACATTTTTTTTCACCACATATTTTAGGACAGTCGCCTCTACATTTGAAACATTTTGAAAGATTGCCTCAGATACTCATGAAAACTTTGTAAATCTCTCTGCCTATCTAAAACATCCCTCCTGGCGCTGACATGTAACCCTCTCACCTTCTGTATTTTCACCGTGACATCAAAGCCACTCAGCAGAAAGTTAAGCTTCAGTTTAGCCAAAATTTGAAGAAGCATTCAAGCCTCTGTACATAAGCTAAATCTGACTGTGTTGTGTTGGTCAGCACAGGTTATTTTGTCTGTTTAGATGCTAACCATCCTAGCAAAGCAGATCATCTCAGTGTGATACCAGGACATTTTGCAGTTCAGGCTTCTATAGAAGAGAGTAGTTATTTGAATTTCAAAGCCTTAAATTGCTAGGAGATTTCAAATATTAGAGCCATTGCACAGTTTGTAGGATACTGAGAGACATACAATAGTCTATTCTCACAATTTCCTCAGAAAAGCTCCCTATTCTCTAAAACTGAAAAATTAAATAAAGCACAGTTAAATTAAATTTAAAATTGTGTAGGAACTCTTTTTTTTTTTTTTTTAATAGACTCCTTTACACTGAAAAAGACCTCTAAGAACAGTGTCTAAATATTAACCCAACACTGGCCACCTGTGAATCATGTCTCCAACTGCCACATCTGCGTGTCTTCTAAATACCCTCAGGGATGGTGACTTGACAACCCTTTCAATGAAAAAATTTTTTCCTGATGTCCAATCTGAACCTCACCTGGTACAGCTTGGTATGAGGGGACAGAAAAGAGATTTTCCTTTTACTTTCCTCTACACTGTACTGTAGATATTCCTGTAGGAAAACAATTCAGGGAACTTAATAAATTTTCACACTATGATGCTGCAAAGGATGCCGGACAACTTCAGATAAATTAAAATATATTTTGAAAATACTAACAAACTGCCATATAAACTATGAATTAATACAACTAAAAGTATATAAAAGAGGTTTTAAAAGAGGTAAATAGGAAGAGGAAAATTCAAAAGTCAAAATTAAAAAGTTTTTAATATGACCATTGCTGATCCCACAAATACAGGGGAAAAAGAAGTCAATCCTAAGAATTGTTTTGTTATATCTATTATAATTAAAATAAGCCTCAGGAACTGAAGCTTCTCAGATTGTGATAATTTCCTTTGGTATTTGTGTGCAAGGAATATAGCTATCTCTCAACATGAGTGATAGTCCAAATGCTTGCAAAATAAATGTAAATATTCCCAAGGCCAGCTGTGACAGCAAGAACAATTTGTGAAAATGCAATTGTATAAAAAAGAGAAATTAATCAGTCTTGGGACTTCCTGTATAGTGTTGCAAACTGCAGTCTAACATTTTTATTAATTTGGTGGAGTTCATTATAGATCATAGAGTTTTTCCAGTGCTTTGCCTACTTCAGAGCACAAAACTTTTATCTTCTAAATAATACTGGGATAGGATTTCTTAGCAAAAACTGCTCCTCTGGCAGGGAATTACTGTGCTTCCCCACTGAAAACTGCTTTTCAAACTCAATGTCCAACCAGGTTTAGTGCAACCTTGAGAATTATCATCTTATGTTGCAGAGTATAAGGCATAGCATGTTCTAAAAAGAGTAGTTTTCCACATGCTCTGCCATGTGTTTTCAAGGAGACAGGAAAGGAAGTTTACATTCTGGATGAGGACTTGTTTAGCTGTTGGTAATGCTGTAGTCTTTTCACAGGCTGTGGCAGCAAAACAGGTAAATCCCTACTGTGTATTATCCTGTGCACCTGATGCTTTTGAACTGAATAAGCTGGCACAGAGTTGGAAAACCTTAAAAACAAAAAAGTAGATGGAAATTAAAGGTGATTGAAAAGTATTGAAAACCCATTTTACAGTTAGTGTTCTAACTAGTCTCCTTTTTCCTATAAACAAGTTGTAAGTTTGTCATTCATCAGACCACCACATCTCACTAACAAATAAGTGCCAGAATGCATGAAGTTTTTAAGCAGAAACTGAATACTGGCCACAAGGTAACAGGCTGCTTGATAACCTACTTAGACAAAACCTAAAATAAAGATTTCCCTTCTGGTAGGTACGGCCAATGATGACATGTTTAAAACCAGATTTCAAATATGAACATAAGAATTTTTCTGTCATAAAGGAAACAAGATGGAATCTTAAGGTAGATTACTCTTATTATGGCACTCAGAGAACAATTCACTAGTAAAGGTTATGGCAGTGGAAATCTGCAATGCTGCTTTGATTCTACCATAGGTAATGACTGTAGCTTTCACTGCTGCTTTAAAACCAGAGATGGACCATCTCTGGACACTCTGAAAAAAATGTCACACTATTCTGCTTGTGGATGTAGAAGACTACAATTACCTACCTTCATCTATATGTATGATCTTTGAGAGCAGGATCAGGTAGGCTGACAAACTTTCCTAGGAGTGTTGGAATTTTGTAATGGAACAATGGAACAAAATCAGGAGAAAGAGATGGAATATGCCATATTTGAGGGATCCAGAGGTATAGTCTGGCATCTGTTATTGTATAAGAGCTTTGAATATAGGTAGCACCTTCCTAGTCAGGTCAGGGACTTAAAAATTACATTAAAGCGGTCCTGCAGAAGAAAGGCCCTTCTATAGGTCCTGCCCAAAGACTGAAGGGTACATTCCAGGACTGGAGAATATGTAATTTCCATGCCCTCTTCTACCCTTTGTAAGAGTGTTGATAGAGGCATTGGACCACAGCAGAACTGTGCCTTGAGTGAGGCTTATGAAGGTTCTTTAGGCTGACAGGAAAAAAAGTAGCCCTCAACAGATTGGCAAGTCCCGCAGTCTCTGAAAAAGCTAAGAGCATCACTGAGACTGTGAAACAGAGCTGTATCCAGTGGAATGTCTCTAGAAAACTCTAGTAAGGATGGACAAGTTTTCTGCCTAAAGCTACCAACACACACCAGTATTTAAAAGCCAAAGGGGCCTGGACGGAGGTTTTCCACACAGATTGGAAAATCCTCCCTAAATCAAGAGAAAGGGTTTCCTCATGGACCATAGTGTACTGCATATGACTATGTTAGTATTCATCAGATGTGACCTTGTTTGAGATTTTAAGGGCAAAGAGAGAGCAAACACGAGTTGAAAATTGGTGCTAAACTAAAGTTCATCCAGACCTAAGATGGACATGCAGACATACTCAAAACTCTGGGAGCAATCTCCAAGAATCAATATACTGATTCATAATTAGCAGGTGACCTAAAGTTTCACTTAAAGTTGCCTAGCCATTTTGTAATTCCTTATCCATGAAAACTTTTCTGCAGAATAAATAAGTGAACACAGTTATATGCCCCTCTCAATTCTACTCTATTGAACAGAATCTTATATTGCAATCTTTTATTTACTCTTTCTTGGTTAAAGTTCCAATTCAAGTTATCAATTTGATTGTAAAAAAACAAAACAAAACCAAACAACAGCCACAAAATCTCCACACAAGAACAACCAAAAATCATAAAAACCTCCCAACAAAACAAAACGAGCCCCCACCCCCAGAAAACAAAACAAAACTAAACCAAACCAACCAAACCAAAAAACCCACTAAAAACCCAACCCCAAAAAAACTAATTTCCTGGAATTCAGGGCATTAAAAGCTTGAATGAACAGGCAAACAACAGTTAGACTGTTCTCTAGTCTCCTATAATCTAACTGGATACGCTAAATAATTTTCTGTATGAAGCTCTAAAGATACTGTTTCGTATCAGTAGAAAATGATCTTTTTAGTAACATTTAATGGGAAAGAAAATATTTTTATAGCTGTGTTAATGTTCTCATGTTTTTTTTCACACATTCTTGATTCTAAAAAGGACATACGAGAATCCATATCTTGAATCCAAATAAGCAAGGCTACTTTTCGTTGGGATGCCAGGAAAATTAAACCTCTGTGTCTTGGAATAAATATGCATAGGGCTGTAGTAAGAAAGTCCTTTATTTTTATTCACATCTATGAAATAGGTTGATGGTAGATAATAAAATTACTGAGAAGCAAATTTGCTCTTAGTTTATTAGCTTAAACACACTTTTATTATCAGGTTGACAAAAATAATGGATAAATGGAAAAAAAATAAGGGAAAAATACCATTGTATTTCATTCTTCCCTATGAAGTACGTCACATTACAGGGTGAACAATGATGTATCTTTATGGCTGTCTTAAGCAACAGACAGCAAGAAACACAATGAAAAACTAAACCACATTCTGTCTCTGAAAACATGTGTGGAGAATGCTGGCCCTTTGAAAAAACCTAAAAGCCTCACGGTACATTTAAGACAGGTCTGAGATTAGTCACATCCTAGAAAATACTGCATGCTAATGTTTTCATTGCAATCTGTTCATCTATAAGTTCTCTCCTTCACACAGAGCAAATGCTTAGCTTTTTAGAAAGTGCTATACACTGCATTTTTAATTAAGCATTTAATTATTGTGTCCCACCACTACACCTTGTTCCCTATAACAAATCATCATGAAATGGGATTTTTTGAGTTTTTTTCTGAAATACTGCTTGCAGAATGCCTGCAGCTTTATAGAGATTTATTAGGAATATGGGATAATACTGGTTGAAATTAATTACTCAAAATCCTTGACACATGAAGCAGTGTAGAATTACATTAGAAAAAGAAATTTTGTATACATGATGACAGTGCTTGGCTATAACCCTTAGGATCAATAAAAGTTACCAGTGCACTGCCAGCATGTTGAAGAACTGGTGCATTGGTAACATTGCAGAAGACTGTATTTTGGAACAGTGTTTACTACAAAATTATTATTATTATTATTATGCCACTTAACAGTCCAAAAAGTAAAATTTATTAACAAACATCAGTTGATAATGTAGGTAGTTTGAATGGCATTTTATTATGTGCAAAAGTTGCTCTGCCCATGTTGTCTTAAATCATGCCAGCCTGTTTTTGTTTAATGAAAATTGTTACCATATCATCTAAACCTGGAAAATGAAAACTGTACTCCTGTCAAATACATTACTGGACAGTCAGCTGAAGATTAGTCCTTCTCTCCAATTTAAAGCATACACGGTAAGTAGCTCAGCATGAAAGTGGCTTTTAAAAGTTTGCTGATGTTCCCACAGTTTTCCTTCCTGGTTTTTGTTAGGAGCCTTTCAAATGAGTAACTTGAGCTTGTCCACCATTTATGAAAATGTTAAGGCTTTTATTTGAAGCTGTAGTGTTTGGTTACTCACTGCTGCAATCCGAACAGTCCAGCTCAAAAGACAGTAGCTACTTCCTTCTGTGAGCCCCTTGCTCACCTGGCAGTCACTATACAGAGCACCTGGAGGGGAACAGTTTACATTTCATTTGTGTGTAAAGCCATTGCTCTGTGAGGTGCAGAACCTATCAGAGCCGGAGAGGTTTGGGTCTAGCAGTGCTCTTTTGAGAAGCCTGAACAATGTCAGTACTGGTAGCTTCTTCCATGTTACTAACAACTGAGAGCAAAGCTCCAGGAGGAGCTTCTCCAAAGCCTTGTTTCTTGTCTCTGTCTAGGAAAATACATATTCTTCCCCCAGATACAAAGAATTTAAGATCAGGGGCAGGCTCCAAAAGTTAAAAAAAGACAGAAACATTTCCAGTGGGCATACACAGGAAGAAGTACAGATTTCTGGCATTTTGAATCTTGTTTATTTTTTGCTCCGATTAGTTACGTTGTCCTCAGTTCCTGACCGAACCCTTTATTGAATATCCTAGTACAAATAAATCAAATTTCATACCAGGAACATGGTGCTTTGGCCCACTTATTTTTTTGAAGGATGCTACTGAAAAACCACATTGCTATTCAATGAATAACAAAGCTGCTGTTGGCATTCACAACACCTCTTTGAACTGAGTCACAAAATTCATTATTCACATTTTAAAGCTTCTTCTGGCTAAGGAAAATCAGTAGCTGAGAGGTGTGTGTGTGTGTTTGGGCAAAGCACCGGTCAGACCAATTCAAATTATGCCGTCATCTCCAAGGATCCAGAGCACGTTCTGAGGTTTCAAGTAAATCCCCTGCATAACCAGAAAAAAAGCAGTATCTGAATCCAACAGTGCATCTTCCAACCAAGCGCCTAGATCTCACTCACTGCGGGGTGCAGTTATGAGAGGATTTTAATGTTACCAGACTCACAGATGATCTCTTGAGCCTCAGATCCCAGATAAAAAAAAAAAGAGGGAGCCGCCTGTGTGTGAGCGCGAGCTCCATCCTCTGCGGCTTCAGAAGCAGCTCAGGCACAGAACCGAAATTTCTCATAGGCAGCATCTCCCGAGGATTTTCTCTCGCTCCCTCTTCCCAGCCCCCCTCAATTACTGGTCCTAGAGGGAACTCAGCGCTGCCTTGCCCGCGGCCAGCGGGTCGGCGCAGGAAGCTCTCACCCTTCCTCCCTCCCTAAGCAGAATCCCCGCTGGAGGCGGTCCAGGGAAGAGCCTGGTCCAGCCAACTCTTCCCGTACCCCCCGCCCACTTCGTACCGCGTAACAAGTACGGGGCGGCCGCTGTCCATGCTGCCAGGGGGCTTGGCGTGCCCCGGCCTGGGCTTCCCCTCCCTCCGCCCCTTCACCGAGGTCGGGGCCGCAGGGCAGCGAGTTCCTGGTGCGGCGCCTCTCCTCGTATGGACACAGATTGCTGTGATTTAGTTACTCCACTAAAGGCTTTTCCGAGACTTCGGCCGCTCTTCTCTATTGCGTGCAGAATAAAGGGGCGCGGGTGTATATATATATATCTGTGTATATGTATGTACCTAAGTATATGAGCCGGGGCTAAACCCTGCATGGTTTAGGGGTCAGCAGGCGAGCGCGTTCCAGCACCAGAGCCCTGAAGCGCTGTGCCCAAGGCCGGGTGCCTGCTTCAGCGCCGTCGGGAGGAGTTTTGGTGCCTCTCGACGCGAGCCGCTTTTTCCCTGAAGGGCCGGGAATGGTTTAGCAGATTACCTACTCCCGTAATCCCGCGGGCGCCGGGTGCCGGCCTAGTTCGAGGTCAGAGAGGGGGCTGCGTGCGGCCGGGTGGCTGCTCCGGCCGGCGGCCCCGCACCGCTCCGCGCAGGGCCTGGAGAGCCGGGCGCCCGCCGTCGCTGACGCCTCTGCCTTTCCTTCCCGCAGCAGGGCCCGGGGGGCCGCGGCGCCCACCCGAGCGGCCCGGAGCCGCCGCCGCCGCCCGCCGCCCCGCAGCCGCGGGAGCCCTTCGCGCCCAGCCACGGCAGCGCCTTCCACCTGCCCGAGCCCCAGCACGCCGCCGCGCTCTACTACGCCAGCTCCACGCTGCCGGCGCAGCGGGTGAGCTCCCCGCTGCCCGCCCAGCCCGGCGGCTCCCCCACCAAGCTGCCGCGGGCCGGCTCCGCCGCCGAGGGCGCCGCCTACGCCACCGCGCAGCGCCTCTCCTCCCCGAAGCAGTCCCCCAGCCGCCTGGCCAAGTCCTACAGCACCAGCTCGCCCATCAACATCGTCGTCTCCTCGGCGGGAGTGTCGCCGTCCCCCATCCGAGTGACCTCCCCGCCCACCGTCCAGTCTAACATTTCCTCCTCTCCTATCCACCAGTTAAGCTCCACCATCGGCACTTACGCCACCCTGTCGCCTACCAAGCGGCTGGTTCACGCTGCCGATCAGTACAGCAAGCACTCCCAGGAGCTGTACGCCACCGCCACCCTGCAGAGACCCGGCTCCCTCGCAGGTAAAACCGCGGCCGGCAGCGCCCCGTGTCCGCTGCTGCGGTGGGGGACGGGGATGCGCGGTGCCGCCGCGCCCGCGGAGGGAGGCGGCGAGGGGCGAGGGACGGCGAGAGGCGGGGTGGCAGGGCCGCCGGCCGAGGACGGGAGGGAAGGAGTGGGGTTTGACAGAAGAGCGGGACTTGGGGGAATTGCGAGTGGGTTTCATCCCGGGTCGTGCCCGGAGAGGCTGCCTGCAGCTGCTTGAGTAAAGTACCTGAGTTCTCCCGGCACGTCCCGCCTTCCCGGCGCCGGGCAGGTGTGCGTGCTGCGGGGGAGGGCGGGCTCGCCGCGCTCCCTGCTGTGACCCGCGTTGCGGGTGGGGGGTTTGTTACTATGGCGAATCCCTTCTCTGCCGCGATCAGAACCTGTGGGCCTTTCGCAGGGAATCACTCTTCCCCGGATTTACATGCGGCTTAGGCGTACTTGCTAAGTTTGGGGTTACTTAGCAGTAACTCCCAGTGTGCCGAGTAAGAGGTAGCGGTGATTTGTCTCCGATTGCTCTTTGGGGAGCAGGCTGTTATAGCTGATTTAATGTCTTTGTAAACGCAGACTTTGAGCAGATTCTAGAAGTGAGATACTGGTGTGCTATTCTCCAAACCATCTCTTTGCTAAACTGAGAATCCTTCAGGGGTGGGTTTTTTGTGTTCTCAAAATTTCCAGTTTCATTGCTATAGTAACAGCTGCTATGCTCCTATGTTCTCTTGTGTGACATAAATAGATTTGAAGATAAATAGGATACATAAAGAAGTTTGGCTGACTTTATCATCAGGTACACAAGTTTCTTACTGGAGTGAAGACCTCACCCTCCTTTCTCCTCTCAGCCACCTCCCCTCCCCCACTCCAGCTGTTGTCAGCATCCTGTATAATTCCAGTGTGTCTAAACACACAGATGGAATTAACTAATAATAAAATACAGTTTTGATCTATCTCCTTTTAAGAACTATTTGCTGGATTTTTTTTCCCATTTAAAGGGCAGGAGTTTTAAAACTTTATATCTTCATATATATGTGTATATATATATGTTTATATGTATATAACAACACATTTTAATTTCAGAATGAGTAAAGTGACAGTATCATTAAATTAAGGTAAAATTCGAGATCTTGGGATGCTTATATCAAGCCTGTTGCCAAATACTGAATACTGAGTACTCAGAATACTAAGTGGTTTATTTAGCAGTTACATTAATACAACTTTTGCTGTAGTCCAACACACTTGGCCACAAGTATTAAGTACTGCTTTTGTACAGTGGAAATATAGAATTGCCACAGACTTTGTATTTTAGAGAATTTTCTTACTTCATCCTATAGCAAGAGTTGTTTGAGTCTAAAAGAAGCATGGATGACACTGCCAGTGTCAAAGGAATGGAGAAAAAAATCGAATTAAAACTTAAATACCTGTGACTATGAGCTATTATTCTGATTTTTCTTATCTTTTTTCTAGGATAGGGCATGCTTTGCGTCGTTTCTGACATGCATAGTACTTTCTCCTATTTATGGACTATTAGCATTGAACTTTGTGTTGTGTTGGGGATTTGGTTTGTTGTTTTTTTTTTAAGAAGGCATCTTTATAGCATTGCAGCATCAAATCTGTGATGATAGCTTAGTCTAAAACTTATGTAGTGGTTAAGGTCCAGCATAATGACTGTGAAGTGCTACAGAAACTGTTAGTCCTGGGCTAGATTGCAGTTGAAATGTGGATTTAGGCTTTTTCGGCCTTCTTGACCAATTATGCTTCTACAGACATTCCTACAGAAATTCCTAGAAAAGGATTTTCTACTTTGTTTTGAATAAAAGTTAAGGAACTGATATTCGTTTTCTTGGATTGCTTTTAAATAAAAGCTTTTGATAAGACTGCTGCATCTTGCATAACCTGCATCTTTTTAAAGCCTACTGCAGGGCGTTACCAGATTTACTGATTTATGGCTTTGGTGAAAGAAAAAGCCTATAGATGATACATGCATTTAGGAAATGGCTGCTGTATTTTTGTGTGGATTTTCCTATGGGAGGGAAGTAGTGATTTTGCTTTTGAGTGATTTGAGTTTGCTTTTGAGTTTCTAAAAATTGATAAAGCAGCACTAACTTCACCAAGTGTTGGGCTAATCCAGAATAAACATAACAGTCTACTGGGTCACTCATCTCTTAGGGACTTGATTTTAAGATATGTAAAAACCCTCCTTGCTTTATTTTATAACAAAAGGAAAATAGCGTAACTTCAGTAAGTATAAGGTGGCAGACCTGAAGAGAGAGACCATTGCTACTTGAAAGACTCAGTGTAAGCAACACCATGTTAGTAAATACCTTTTGTTTCTTTTTCCCCACAGTGGTGACATGCCTTTCAAGTAGTCCTTGAAAGGAGCTCTATCACATGATCCATTATTTTGCGAAGGTTTTCTATTGTGTGCTCCTACCCCTTATTTTCTACTGCCATTCTTACACATGTTCCTTCTGGCCTCCCTGCTATCCCGTAGTTACACATTTGTTAGCAGTGTTAAGTGCCTGACTAATCTTCTAGACTTTCACTGGATTCACTGAAGCCAATGGACTACTCAGAGGCTTAAAATTAGCATGTGCTTTAGAGTTAGACAGGATCAGATGTTACAGATACTACTAAGGCAATCTTAAATTTCTTCTTTTTTCTGTAAGTATTTTTGCTCAGAATAGGTTTGGAATTTGAGCTGTAAGTATATTATATTTTTGCAGGAGTTTTTCAGTCATTGTGTTAGAAATCAAACCCTCTGAGAAGGAGACCAAGCAATTGTATTTTGAAGAGCTAATGTTCATTAAATTGTGGTTTTGCTTCTTATTTAAAACATCCAAATATGAGTTGAAATTTTTTGGGGTTTTTGAGAGAGAGAGGAGGAGGAAGAATGGAGAACAGTTGTCACATTGCACTGATTGATGGTTTGCCTGCTGTGATTAATGTGAAGTTACATTGGTATGTATGTGTCATCACAGGGATGATGTTATACTAAGTAATCTTTTTTATATCTGGCAATAAAAAAGAAGTATTTGTGGAAATTACTTGAAACACAGATAATGCATTTATTTTAATTATTTTTGCATGATACTAGAAATTTGTCCTGGAGCTATCTAGTTCATGAATACTACTGGGTTTCAGTGTACTGACAAGCCAAACTGTATCAGTGCCAGACTTAGATATTTAAAAGAGAAGACATTCAGATAAGTTCCATTTTTTAAAAAAAATTCAAATAAAAAGTTACATAGATGGCCCAAAACATAATCCGTGTGAGACTTAACTGAGGAGATAGCATTATTTATATTAATTTCCTACAAATTTGATTATGAAACAACTTGAAATTATAAAAAGGACAATTTTCAGCCTTCATCCTGAATTTCAAATGAAACATGCAACAGCGTGCAATGACTCAGTTTTAACCGAGTAACCTTAGAAACATCTTCAGAAATGGTTTTTAGTCTAGTTATATTAGAGCTGCTGCCACTGCCAAGTGTGTGTGTGTGTATGGGTGTGTGTGTACATGTGTATATAGTGGCTCTGGTGAGTGTACATTTGCTGTGTTTATTCTTAGTCTAGCTGCTTCATTCCTATGATCTGCAATTACAGTTTTAGAAGTAGTTCTCTGCTCTGCACTGCTCCAAAGCATATTCGACCGTCTGTTCAAGCAGCGATCCAAATCCAGAAAGCACAGTTTGTAAATATCTTCTTGCAGCTTCCACACCTGGACTGAGCTTTGGTGTGAGGCGGGGAGCCAAGCTCACCAAATCAGTCCATTTTGCCTGGAAGGAGTGTGTAGGACGGCAAGCAGCAGAAATACGGGAAAACTCTTTCAGGAGGCAGATCATGGCACAAGTGCCCACTACTCACGCTATTCTAAGGTATCTCTTGTTGGGCAGAGTGTGACAGACAGTACTAAAAGAGTACTGAGTTTATTTAGGAGCAGAGGGAAAAAAAGCAGTCAAAGTGTGTTGTTCAGGTGATTTGTGATTCAGATTATGTGGCTGGTAGCAGCCGCAATGTTACAAAGCTACTCCTGCCTCTTCATCCAGGTTTAGGGAAGACTAGGGACACATAATGCAATGGAAAGTAGTTTTATGAATTGCCTTATTACAGAAAACTAAAAGAATAATAATCCTGCCTGAAGTCTGCACCATGTTTCATAGGCTGTACTAAAAGGTTAAGTTTATGAAATGAGTGTTGGTGTGAATCATTTGATATGTTAGATAGAAAGAATATTATGCAGCTATCTTTCATTTAGTGGTGACACATTCCACTGAAACTAGCTGCAGCATCCCTCTAGACAGCCCTGCTTCTACCAGTGTTGGAAACTTAAGTTCTAAGCCTGGTGTTTATGATCTTCTTTCAAGTCCCTGTAAAATCAAAATGGAAAAGAATTTTTCCTTTCTGAGTAGGACTGTTTGTGTGCAAGTGTAGTGCTAACATTAAAATAACACCAGTTTATAAAAACATGGCATGGGTTAATACATAAAATATGCTTACTCTTTATTGAGCAAAGAGTTCTAAGTTGATCAGGGTCTTAATTGGTTCCCTCTGCTCCTTCATATGTTTTGCCTCACTCATCTCTCTCTTTTCTGAGGACCTTCCTTTGCCCTTTCTCCTTCAGCAGCTTTTCACTGCTTTTCATGACATGTTGAGCCCTGGTTTCCTGTTGTGGTTTATGACAGGACTTCTATTTGATGGTGAGTGTTGACATGTTAGAGCATGTCAGTGTTCAATCATAGGGGCACAGATCAGCTTAAGCAATGGGATAACTGATGTACATGACCTCTAGCATGGATTGATGTTTCCTTTCGATTGCATGAAGATATTGGATCATCTATATATCACTAGTTCATTGCCATCTTTAAAAAATTATCTTGTTAAGTGTTAGAGGTCTCCAGTAAATCATACTATACTTGTATTTGTGCTAGAAGAGCTGCATTACTGTTAACTTACAGCCAAAGTGAGTCTGAATCACCCCAGA